GCCTTTTCCTACGCTTTTGGTGGCCTACCCTGGTTGACGATGTCAAGTGGTACCTCTGGACGTGTCATGAATGCCAGATCCGCCAGACCCGCAAGTTACATATCCTGCCCTCCATTCCGATACCCGGGGGCCTGTTCCATAAGGCCCACCTTGATACCATGATGATGCCCAAAGCAGGCGGGTATACACGTATAGTCCAAGCGCGTTGCGCATTGACTTCCTACCCGGAATGGAGGATGCTCCGCACTGAAACCACGAAGATGCTAGCCGCGTTTATCTTCGAGGACATTTTTTGCCGGTGGGGTCCTTTAGCGGAAATCGTTACTGACAAACAGAACCCCTTTCATCGCAGCAGTAGACTCGTTACGCGAGCAGTACGGGATCCATCATATCCGGATCTCCCCCTATAACTTGCAGGCGAACGGGATCGTGGAGCATAGGCACTACGATGTCCGGGAGGCCATCATGAAAAGTTGCGAGGGGGATGAGTCGCATTGGTACCAATCTGCGCACTGTATTATGGGCGGAAGCGGGTAACTATCCAGGTCCACGGACTATCCCTGTACTTCAGTACATGGGGTTGAGCCCCTCTTTTCCGTTTGATATCGCAGAAGCAACTTACCTCATATCCCCACCCAGGAAGGACTCAATTTCATCCACAGAGCTTATAGCATGGCGCGCAACGCAACTCCAGAAGCGTCGGGAGGACCTTGACGCGATTAAGGGTAAAGTCCTCATAAGCGATCTTGGTGGGTACCAGTTCCGTCAAGGACTTCGAAGCGAGGTTCCCGCACCCTCCATCAAGGATTACGACTTCCTCCCGGGTAGTTAGTACTAGTCCGAAAACTCACGGATCGAAGTCGGAGCTGAATCTGGAAGATGAAGCCCCGGTACCTAGGACTGATGGTAGTCCTTCGTAGGACGATGGGAGGATCGTACCTGTTGGCAGAACTGGATGGGTCCGTTTATCACGACTTTGTTACGCAGCATTCTGCATACTCCCGTACCACCCCCGCAGTGCGATCTGCATCCCCCGTTACTACTATCACCGGACTAGAGGACGACGCAATTAGACCAGTTGGCTGAAGGAGATGCTGACGAGCCAGACGAAGAAGAACCCAAGCCCGACCCCAGCGCATAATGATCATCATCCCCATACCACCTGACCCTCATACCAGTAAATATCCCCCCGACCCCGATCGCCATCCTATATCCAAGAAAAAGAAAATACCGTCAAAACAAAAATATATCATAGAAGTACTACTCTCTGTTTTACCCCTAGTTTCGTCTGGTGATCCGTCTCTCATTCCGTTTTGTTCCGTCTCTATCCACCCCGCATACTAAAAAGAAAGAAATTACATATCTACAGATTCCCGCTATATATTCGCCATTTGATCCGATTAGACTATATGTGTGCGCATAAACCACAAGGACCCGTTTTACTTCTCCCGCATGAAGCCACACCATGCACGTTTGTAGTTCCCAAGTGTTCCGTTCGATAATAGACAAAGCCCATCGGATCCGCGGACGGCGGGCGAGGAATAGAGGAATGAAGCAGATCGATGAAGACAAGTCAGACGCGTAGTCCGCAGGCTCACAGTGTTATATTTCTCCTTCCCGACTCATACCTGCTTATACGTTACTTATAGTCCCATTATCCCATAGCATCAGTGAGGATCTGGATAGGGACACGGACGGAACCAGGATGGATCCCAGGACGGATCCCATGCAGAACCCATGCGGAACCCATGTGGAACCCATGCGGAACCCATGCGGAACCCATGCGGAACCCAGACGGAACACCAAGAAAATGCATACATTGTACAAAATATAACGACGGATATTCGAAGACATTGTATATACGGGAGGGGAGTGGATCCGCTAACTAGAGGAGACCCCCAAGACGCCTCTCCAAGCGACCCACCTCAGTGGAGATCTTGTAGGCAGACTCATAGAGGCTGATGAGCTGGCCCTTCAGGATGTGCAACTCATGCTGCACCTTCGCGATTTTGCCCTTCTCATAGTGCGACACTTCATCAGACGACTCCTCCACTGTAGGGGTGGCAGGGACGACTTCCTTTGCCTTACCCTTTCCCTTACCCTTGGGTTCCGCTGCCTTGCGCGTGTTGCGGGTAGCGCGCTTCACAGGGGCCTCGACGATTTCCGGCTCACTGCCAGACGGAACAGCCAAACCGGGAGACGAGACGGTCCGGCGGAGGGATCCACTAGCACTAGCAGAGAGGGTGGGTGCATCCGATACCTTGCCCTTAAGGCCTATCTGTACACTCAGTCAGCACCATCCGGAACACAATCAGAACCCATATCACATACCCGTCGCCTTTCCGAATGAAGCATACTCACACTTCTGATGAACCACGTTGCACCCATTACAGGACCGCTTGTCCTCACCTACACACTCCTTCTTTACCTTCACACAACACGCACAAGGTGGATCCATTGAACACAAGGCAACGGGATAGACGTACCTTGGACGGGATAGCTACCTCCATCTTCATACGGTTGATCCGGGGGGCGAGGGATGCAGACCCGCCTGTTCCGTCCGTTGAAGGGGGTTGCGCAGGGGTGGATCCGGTGCGGGCGCGCGGGGGGGAGTCAATACCCATCTGCACCTCACGGGACTCACGATCCTTTGTGTGCGCTTCGAGGGCACTGCATTCACGAGTCCATTGTTCGTACTGCTCATTAGCCCCAAGCCCAGCGGCCCTTGCCTCACCGGACATTGTAAGGACGACATTCTGGGTGCGGCCCCGGTCAGTGCAGTCAGATAGCGCTCTCTAGAAGCAGAGGGGTAATGTTCCGTATCGAATGGAATAGACAGATCACTCACCATAATATTGGCCCAACGTTCGCACCACATCCTCCATTCTTCCTGCAGCTCCTCCTTATCATCCGGAATGCACTTTGCCTCAGCAATCACCCTATCCTCCAGTTCCTTCCATTCCGTGAGGATCCGATCCTTACCTGAGTCGAGGGGTGCAGGAGGAGTGAAGGCAGCAAAGCTAAAAGACATAGTTGTGAGAGGGGACTTAGTGGGCGATTGGGGGTGAAAAGTTGACAAAAAGAAGCGGATGATCCAAGGAGCGCCCATGTGTATCCTTCATTCCCCATTACATTGAGGAACCGGTTCTTTGGTCGTGTTCCGGCCCATCGTTCCATCATCCTGTGCGACAGCATTACCATCAGACTTCTTAGGCCGCGTTCCGACCCTTCGTTCCTCCGTCCTGTGCGACATCATTGCCATCAAACTTCTTTGGTCGCGTTCCGACCCTTCATTCCATTAACTTCTCGCGCGACATCATTCCCATTGAGCTTCTTCGATCGCGTTCCGTTCCATCATTCCATTAACTTCTCGCGCGACATCATCATCATCATGCTTCCTCAGCCGCGTTCCGTCCACTCGGTCTGTTACAGCCACGTCATGTGACTCTTTTAGAAGAAATCCTGCTAAGTCTGTCAATTACTATAGTGCTGACCGGGGACGGTCAGTATCTGAGTCCCCCACAGGTGTGGGGAACGACCCCACTGTAGGCCTGTATCCCGCATATTTCCCATGCCTTCCCACCATTTTCCCACGCGTTCCACTACCCATCCGCATCTTCCCCGACCCATCCGCTACACGGAACCAAGCGGAACCAAGCGAAACCCAGCGGAACAATCGCGTACCACACACATTATATTCCTTCAGCCTTTGGAACATCCTCCTACGTCTTGTCCATGTCCTTCCATCCTCGCTGGTGAGTACTAGCTACGTTCCCCATGTCACTAACATGTTCCTATCTCATTTCCCATGTGTTACGGTACTTATACGGATCCTTCCGCTACTCGGGACCGATTCCTTATCTCACAGCCTCACCCGGTTGTAGCATATCGCATTTCGGAACCCCTTCCTATATAGGTAGCAATAGATGGGATCTTAGTTTTTTACCTTCTGATAGACTCGACTCCACTTCCACTTACAGAGTACTTCCCAGTACTCCACTCACTGTTTAAAATATCTTCCCGAATCTATTCCTGATCACATTGCATTGCTCCCGCCCCCATGAGTTCCGCTCAAAACGCCCGACATTGGATCCAACGACTTGGAGCAAGTACCAGACACAAGCCTGGTCCGACTTTGCCCAATCATCCTCCTGCAGGCTTGTAGTTTCTTTTCCCTCCATTTGTTCCCCATTAGTTCTGTTTGTTCCCCGTTTGTCCTGTTTGCTCCGCGTTAGTTCTGTTAGTTCCCCGTAGTTCCGCTCATCGCACGCTGAGTTCCGCTCATCGGGAACCCTCCGCATCTTTGTGTTCCCAGTCCTAGTAAGGACCGGAACCCTTCGGGTCGCTAGACAGAGTCTAGTCTTTGTTTCCTCGCACTTATTCGAGGACTCGCTACCCAGTAGCAATCCCCTCGGGACGAGTATAAGCCTTGCACCCTTGTTAGACTTCTGATTCACACAGAGTCTATTTTCCTCACCCACACCGGACAGTGAAGACACCCTTGTGCCCGAGGTCATCATGCGCCTCCTTTACTATCTGGTCTCTCTTCCTTTCTGGAACCACTAATTGATGCCTCCCATGGGGTTCCCATCGCCACATCAATCCTTCGAGAATGAAGAACCGGGATGTGGACGTCACAAACAACGTATATTCCGTATCTGATAAGGCCTCGGGTCATTCCTGGGTTTCGAGGTATAGGCGGAGGGAGTCGATTTTCGCATGCTTGGCATCTGCTTTTGCTGATTGTGGAAAGGATGGTTCTTCTTGTTGGGGGCCGACGATATCTAGGAATACGAGTAATGGGGATGCACTGCTGCTCGTAACAGCGGAACGATTCATATATGGGGCCCGGATGGGCTCGTGGTCAGCAGGCGGGACGGATGATATTGTGGGTAGAGTCCTATCATTGAGGAACTCGACCCCAAAGGAATACGCGCGGTCTAGCCAATCCTCGTGGTCATCATCCTCCACGGGATCCGCTTCAGCGGGCGGCCTCCTTGAGAGACCATCTACCCCTGCGTGCTTGGCTGCGGGAACATGAACGAGCTCGAAGGAAAAGAGCAGGATACCCGCGATCCATTGATTGATAGTCGCATTGGGCTGAAGATCCGGATTATTGATCATACCTTTGATGTACTTTGCATCGACCTCTACAGTGAGGTTCGTGACCCTGAAAATGAATACCCGGACCGCCTGCAACACGCGGAACAGTCCGTACAACTTGAGCTTGGCTTGTGAGTAGCGGGACTCGACTTCCGTCAGTGTGATGGATCTGAAACGATTCGGGTATCTTTTCTTATCCGCCCCTACCTGAAGCAGGATGTACCCGATAGCGATATTGGAGGTATCGACGGCTAGGATGACTTCCCACCCGCACTCATAGTCGATCCGACGCAGTGCAGGGGACTCTAATATCGAGTCCTTCAGGGTCTGCATGGCGAGTTGGTGTTCCGCTCCCCACTCGAATACGGCGTCCTTCTTCGTCAGGTTGATGAGCGGGCGGGCAATCTGGGAGAAGTTACGGATGAAGATCCGAAGCACCCCACAGGTTCCTAGGAACCCGCGGACCTGTGTTGCAGTCTTGCACTCTGGCCAGTCGTGGATCTTCTGGACCTTGGACTCTTCTGGGATGCGACCCTCGAAGGTGCACATGTGTCCTACAATTACCGCGGACGGAGCTGCTATTACGAATTTCGATGCGGAAACCGTGACCCCGACATTCTCAAGACATTGGAGGATCTGGTTGATGACCAGGCAGTGTTCCCATATGAAGCGACAGATCCCCGGGTTTCGGGGAATGGTTTCGTAGGATCCGTCGTCCCGTTGGTACCGGGTCTTAACTGATTTGATGGGCACATCATCAATGAAGGGGGAAGTATGATCCGGGATTTCATCCTGGAGGGTGAATGCGCTATCACCTTGGTAGACTTGGACTGCATTGGCATGTCCTTGTGGAAGGGTAGTGAGTCGATGGGGGCCGAGGGGTGTTCCGAAGGTAGTGAGATCCCAGGACTCCTCATGGAGGGGACGCTGGTCATAACCCGAGTAAAGGTCCATCATCCCATATACTGCGTACCCAGCGAATGATTCTGCGAGATGCTCGACAAACGGAGGGACGGATGTGTCACGGATGGTTACTGCATTCAGGGGTTGGAGGTCGTGAACAAGCCTCAATGACTTCCCGTCCTTCTTCACGACGCAGAACCAGCGGGAACGGTATGCGGCTGTGGATGGCTCGTATACACCTGAATCGATTTTCTCCTTGATGATGCGGATGACTTCCATTAGGATTGCGGGAGGAATGGGGATGTTACGTTGAACCCATGGGATATGCGGAACTGTGGGGATTTTATATGCTGGAAAATAATCTTCGTTAAGGCGCCCGCGTTCCGCAGCGCCCCAAGCAAATGCCAGTTCATGGGTGCGGACTAGCCAACGGATCAGTTTGAGTTCCTCCGGCCATAACCAATTGGCCGGATCAAGGTCTAATGCTCCCATCCGCTCTTCTGTATAGCGGACCCCCGGAACAAAATCGGGGGGGAATATGGGTAATTCAGGCATGCCTGCTAACGGATCGTCTGGGAGCCGATGCACGACCCTAAATTCTTTGGGCATCGTGGTGGGCACTGTCCGCACTTTCTTCGCAACTGGTTTATACACCAGCACATGACGGGCGGGATCATAGGAATAAACGGAATTGAACGCATCAACGGCTGCGGGATTGAACACGGACTGGGTCGACGTGAGATATGAATACTTCTCGGAATGCGGACTCGCGGATTCATAGGAATATGCACGGACAGATGAGCTCCTTGAGAGCGACGGACGGATGGAACTGATGGGACGGACAGAACGAGAATGAAATGGAGATGGGGAAAGCGGACGCGTAACTTCGACTATCGGATTTGAATCTCCCCGCGGGTCTAGTGGCTCATCAAAAATCAAAAATCCCGCTCCCCTCCCTTGGGATGCTCGGAACAGTGCTGTCCGGAACCACAGCGCGTGCAGGGCTTAGACCACGCGCGGGTCAGAAGCTTGATCTCACAGCTTGTGTTAGGGTCAGTAAGTGTTACGTCCTGTTCCCCGCTGAGGAGATCTGTAGTATGGCAACTCGTCAACTTGAAGAACGGATGACCCAACAGGACCTCGAAGTTAGCCCGCTCGACGACTTGGACTTGGAAAAACATTTCCCCTGCCCCAAAATCAAAGGACAAGTTCTCGATGACGCCTAGGGTAGCGTCCTTTGAAGTATTGACGGACTCCATGGTGGTCTGATGGTCGGAACGAAGGGGTACACCTAGCGCCTGCCAAATGGACCGGGGCATGACAATGATTTCTGCTCCCTGGTCCAGGACACAGGTGAGGGCCCACTTCCCATGGACGGTCGCTTCAATGCATCGCAGGGGCTCAAAGTGCTCGCCTACTACATGTCCCCGGTCGTCGCGGGTGACGTAGTCCTCAAATCCCCTGACAAACTCCTCGTTTTCTGGGCGACTAGTGAGCCCGTTTACAAGGATGGTCCCATTCGTCACCCATCGCGTGGTAGTAAGATCCCGGAACTGTTTACGGAAGTCTGGCGCGATTGCGAACAACTCCCTGACAGGAACAGAGACGGAGGAATCGAGGACCCGACTGAGGACCCAAGCATCCGCGCCCTTGTCTTCTAGTTTGAACGCATACCTATATTGGCTCAACAACGGAACGGAGGAAGGTGTGTTAGTACGTGTTGAATCAGCGGGAAACGAACTGGTAGATGCGGACGGTGGCTGCGTGACACGGGGAGTATTGACTGGCTTCGGGGCAGGCATGCTAACTGGTAGTAATGCGGCAGGGGCGACTGCTGGTGCCTTCCCCTTGCTGGTCGATGCTTGGACCACAGGAGATACGATCTCCTCCATCACGGTAGGCTGTTTAGAGGCGGGCCCCGCGCGCGACCACACCATGGGTATGTCGACTCCGTCAAAGCGGATGGTCTTGCCCTTCTTGTCGGACTTGGGGGCTGGCCTGGAAGACTGGGTTGCGGCCCATGTGAGGCTGAAAGCCTTAACAAAGCGGGCATCCTCATCATTGTCGTCTGACTCGGGTTCTGCCCGAGTGGTCAGATATGCGGATGGTTCTACTTCCAACATGACCTCTTCGTTGGGACCAGCACGACAAAACATTCCTGCGGTTACATTCATATGGGGGGGCGGATCGCGCTGGCTCCACAGGATACGGGGTGATGTAGTGGATGCGGGGTCCTGTACATGACCG